AGACTACACGTAATTTTTTTTCCAAGACTTTCCTGCCGGACTGGATCTCATTTCTTTACTGACAATGAGAGAACGAAAGTTTTTGTTTGCCGCGCCTTCGTATTGTTACGGTAATAGGTGCGTCGCGTTCCATAACTGATTCAAGACCTTCTTCTGTCATTCTGTCATCCGTGCTATGCGTGTCATTATGCTGCTTCTAATATTGGATATAAACAAATGCAAATACTCGTAGATTTTATAGATTTTTTTATTAAGTCTTCAGTTAATAAATAATAAGTTCCCATCTATTTTTATCAGACGCTTAAGCAGATCGCCGACACTCGTTACGTCCACATTAACAAATTATAGACGCATGTCGACCATCCTTTGTCAATATTTGCCAAAATTAAGATGAACAATTTTTTTAGTTGGTTTTGCAAAAATTCACTTGCTTTACCATGAAAATAAACCCTTTCGATACTAAAGTTCATAAATTTTGTCGAATGCTTAAGTATAGATAATCGACACTCGTTTTACAAAAATACATTTACAAAAATTGGAAGCACATCAACCAATCCTATGTCAATATCAGTGAAAATTAAAGTGACACATTTTTCTGATTGATTTTACAAAAATTAATTTCCTCCGGCTTTATTTATTGTAGGTCATTTCAATGCTCAGGTTCAGGGTCCGTGTCTAAGTACGTCTTTTATATCGACAGCCACGATGTCTACTGCCAACCAAACTATAGATATAGCGATTTAGTAGTGCAACAAGTAAAATGCCCGTTTGCCTTGATTACAGCACAGTGAAATAGAACCGGACTTCTCGTACCTGCACTTCGCGATCCGATAGCAACGCGCCGTAGCAGATCAGACCTGAAAGGACCCTTGACCTTATATTGTAGATCCGTAATAATGAATATCACAGACCTAAAGGCGACAAAGTCCTTAGACTGTCTTTAAATACTTTTCGAATCACAAGATGCTGCGCGAACCAAATTCGATCAGCGTGAAATGGGCTTTGCTACTTCATAGGTATACCTATATGATATATAAAACACGTAATGGTGTTTATTGTTCTAAGAACAAGTACAAATTTAATATTCGGAATTGAAACTGCTGACCAGTGCAATTAGTGAATAAATATCTAGGACATTTTTATTTCCCGTTGTTAACACACGTTTATACAATTTAATATTTATAGTCGTGATCTCCATGCCATTAATGGTGGTAAATATAATTGTGAGCAATAAATATTGTATTGTAGAATTGGATGATATCATTGTTGAATATACTGATTTGTTAGTGAAGAAAAAATATGCAAGGCCAGTATCCTTGTAGCTGGACCGAATACGTTTAATTTAATCTGTTGTTGTACATTGGTATTTTTGGGATACAAATTTTTCATAGTTCCCCTCGAATCTCTCAGGGACTCGTGCACTGGTCCTAGTCAAGTTCCCTGCCAAGTTACTATCTTCGAGCGTGTTCTAATATCTTTGGATGGCTCGGATTAATATTCCTTTTAGTTTTTTATTTCTTATCAATACTCTATTTTCAAGATTAATATTAACTTTGGGTCAGCCTCGCGCCACTTTCGTGCTGGCTACTGCCAACCTAACAGCGAAACAAGACCAAAGACGGCCAGTTGCTTCACTGACGTAGCGAACCTTGGTCTTTGAGCGATTGCACCGATCCCATCTGGCTGCCCAGATTTGAATATGGCGTTGCGCTTCGCTGGATTTTGCTTTTCTTCAAGAATTCTCCTTCGTTTCGCGAGCCGAACGGGTTTTCTATACGTGAGAAAGATATAAAGTGAAGTGCTCTGAGAATGGATCCCAGTGACACGGGTGAGCGTTTGTGAAATTGACATCGTTCGCGAGAAGACGAATGCAATTGGAGATTTTCTATTGCGACAGTACTTTTTTATCTTTCGATTCTAGTTCGTATATTTAAAACGGTATGTCTGACCTTTTTGTCTCATTCCAATTAATCGACGATTCCATGGGAATCTATAGAATGAGAATTCCATAGAAATACATCTGAATCTCTAGGCTGAATCTGCAGACCGAAATTTTGTATAGATTTTATAGATAGACATTTTTTTGGTAAAAAATTTTTTTTTTTATGTTGAACAATTTTTTTAGGGAAACTTCATTGGAAATTATATCAAAGCATGAGCTTTTATAGTAACAGGTTTTTTCTGCCTTATACAGTAATAAGGTTACTCGCGACAATCGTACAAACTGAAGTTAGCATATTTGTTTTTTATAGCAGAACCACGTTCAGACGTTGCGATTCACGTGAATAACCTTATGCTACATCAATAGAGTGGAGTTTACATCTATAAAGGTACACCTCACACCGATTCTAACGATAAATCCCTAATTATCCGGATAATGAGATAATCGAATCGTACTTGCAGCATCACGTGTCAACAATAATACATTACGACTTGAATGAAAAAAAAAAAAAAAAAAAAAAAAAAAAAAAAAAAAAAAAAAAAAAAAAAAAAAAAAAAAAAAAAAAAAAAACTTTTGTACAGTCCTTGCTTTTTTTATTTTCAATTAAACCATATCGCGATCGACTACGCAAATACACGTATCGTATCGAAAGCTCGTTAATATTGATTCAGGTTGATTAATCGATAATTCATTCGAGGACGTCGAGAAAGCGCGAAGATTTTTCTCGTCCTTCACGACTAAAAGGACGAATCGGAAATCACGTGTAAACTGCCCCTGCACTTTTTACCAAACAGCGAATTGCCATGCACGGTCGTATCGCCATTTTCTTTATTTAATTTCAATTGCACGAAAGTGAAATCTGCACTGCGACAAGGCGTCAATTTCAAAGTCGACGCACGACGTCGTGTCGCGTCTCGACGTAACACCAAGCACCGTTACGTTGGTCGAAATGCGACCTGTGCTTCAATTCCTTCTAACTATGTAGTATATATATATATATATATATTTCAAGTGTTTACTTGGCGCATTAGCGAATGACTTGTTGCTGAAAGTGAATGGCGAAAGTGGATCCACCTTGTTGGGGGTCCCTTCCGTTTGACTAATTTGGATGAGCGACCTTTCTTGTTATCCCGGACGTTCAGTGATCCAGGACTGAAGCGAGTCGCCGTGATTTTCAGTCCTTCACCTTGACGCTGCAATTTCCAGCTATTGGCCTTGGGCGCCTTGAGGCCAGTGACGTCCAGATTAAAATCTTGTACGATTGGTAGGTTTAAAAAAAGACATTAGAACGGAGAACCGATGCAGCATGGAATGCCCAATATGTGATCAATAATTTATTAGAACATTCGTGCAACTTTCATGGCATATAAAATACCTACTTTTATTCTTTTTAAGTACGCGATTAACTCGACTGTGCATACAATTTTATATATTTGTTAATTGCTCGAAAGGATTTTGAAATTAATGTGCGTCGTTGTAATGTCATTTAATATTAACGTAATATTAAATTAATTAAAAATAAGTAACATGAATATAATAACATTGAGATAACGATTGCTACGTATATCTTGTAAAATGTTTTAGTGTCAATAGTCGAAAGTCAGGGAAAGTATAATAATTACAAACCGACAATTAAAATTTATAATTATCCATATATAATTAATCGTATGCATGATTAATAAAAAATGGGCGTTAAATACACGTGTCTGTTATCTTCCAGAATTAGCGTACTTTTACTTTCGATTTGGTTGTTGCGAAGATACGACTACATCGTCTGACCCAGCTCACGATAATAGGAGGAATTGTCAAAATATTACTAGAAAGTGGTATCAGTCGTCCTGGCGCAAGATTACGGAGCTATCGCCAAAACCCAAGTGACGATAGGCTCATACGGCGACCTCGATCGAAATGAACGTGACGTGAAAGTATTGCCGGATACTGGCATCCCACTTTTTGGACCCTCTGTCGTAATCTCCCGAGCATGCGTGTCACTTTCGTTGCATAACTTTGAAATTAGGGATATGGAGCACAGTGAGTATCTACCGATAGTATCTCCACGTTACGTACGGGGTCGCGAATGCGACTTAACATTATTATCAATCTGATGTCAATAGGGCAGCAAAATACGTGGTCGTAGTGGAACGACGTCAAATTGTGGATATCGTACAAAAGCGAATAGAATATACATCAATGTTATTGGGACCGTCGTACTTACCCTAGGACGTTGATACGTGACTGGGTAATATTTGCTGAAGATTAATTGTAAATGCGTATGAATGAATTAGCTTTAATAATTTGCATAACAATTTTTTTAAATCATTTCGACGACAATACTGGCTTTAAAGTGAAATCATCATTTCACATTTCCATTCCTATATGTATTGTCCTGTTGGTTCTGTCTGCTGTATTATTTATAGTATTTCTTTATCGCAGAGCGGAAAAAAATTTACAAAAATACGTATACGTACAAAGAGAAGTAAGAATATCAAGTAATTTGCTTTTGGCACAATCACTATTCGCGTATTCTCATCGTCTAAGAATTCACTCGCTGTTCAATGACGATCTGCTTTTTTGTCGAAGTCGAGCGTAATGGGACAACTCTTTATAAATTGCCAGGCACAACGATTCAAGCTACGATCTTACATTGAATTTCATTCCGAAGACAAAACGTGACCATTGTCTGCTCTACGTATGTCAACTATTAAGGAACTATCGTGATCCGCAGTTGACAAACGTAAAACAGTTCTGAATGGTGGTTAGCATATTACGTGCTGTTTGAATGTATTTATCTTTTTTTTTTAAAAAAACGTCAGTCATTTATGAAAATATATATTAACGCGTCTAAATCATCGAGACTCAATACGTTGGGACTTGGTATGTAAAAAAAATGTTTTTTTTTTTCTAACCATTATGACTATTCACAAATACGTCAGTACGAGCAGGATACGGAAATAGAAGGCAGTGCGTGACGTCACGGAGAATATAAATTAATTCAATTACAAAAAAAAAAGGGACAAACAGGACCCGGCGTTAAAGCAAAAATGATCTATGATTTCAGAAGTCGCAGGTAGCGAGTCGCGAGATGTGGGAAGGTCTTCGTTTCCTTCTCGTGGTGGTGGCGATCGTAGCTAACGTCCATGTGATCGATTCTCAAAAGCCGCAACTCGGAGGCGCAGTGAATGTCTTCAGCCGTTACGGCTACCTGAGCATCAGCATGAGGGTGGTTCCGCGGAACGACACGGACACGTGGATCTTCAGGGAGCCGACCCTGGACGTCTTTCGCAACCCGACTGCAGCGCCGCCGCGACAGCAGAGCAAGAGCGCCGTCTTCGACGGTGACTTTCACATGGAATTCTGCGACAACATCCGGCAGCTGCTCCAAGCCTACTTCCGGGACTTTACGTTCGAGCAACTCGAGAAACCCTGGAGAGCGTTCACCGGCAGCTGGTCCAGGTCCGCCATTGCTAGGCATCTTGGTATCAATGCCTCGTTCATCACCGGTGAACATTGTTACGTTCTCGTTCGGGTTGCTCGGTTCCGCGAGAGCCAGAAGCTCCGGGAACCGGTCGAGAATCTAGTCCTCGAGGAAGCCGTCGCTCGGGAAGCCAACAACATCACCGTCGGCGACACCGTCAGCGTCATCCAATTCATACGCAACTTTGGCTCGCACTACATTGCCTCTTATGTAACGGGCAACTCCCTGTACCAGGTACTCGAATTACGATAGTTCATGCCTTTTCCTTTTCGCGCTGTCTCCTTCTCACTTCGGCTCGATACATATGAATGAATTGCGTATGAGTCAGGCCGTGCCGAAAGTCTCGGTCATTCCCACCTGATGGTTCTTCGTGATTTGATATTCTGTAAACAGTAAAACACGCGACTTTTTACTACTGCTGTCTGGTATTTGAATTTCAGTGCACAACTTCATGTCAAGTTGTATGTTTGCAGGTTAGAAAATTCACTTCGCGAATGGCGATAATTGCTTTGTCAGTTTTCAAACGCGTGACGTTTCTTTTTTACTCGCGAATATTGGTTGAGCGTTTGGCAATGGTGTCTGGATTATTGGTAATGGCAATAACGAACGGGGGACTAATATTTGTCGATTCATATTGATTGTGAAAATTGTCTCACCTTGAATAGCTTTTTTGTAAGGAGACCATTGTCGCCGTTTCTTGTTAGACACTGTGAATGCATTTGCTCGGCTGACACATTTTATCTTATTGCTGTTTTTTTTTTTCTGACAGATGAAACAATTAGCAGCTGCGTAAAGTCGTGAAGTATTCCGTAATGATTGTGTACCTGTTTGACGTGGAACAGCTGACTTTCAGTTTCCGGGCTCGTGGCTATAGTAAATGGTTAGCTTAAAACAATGTTTGGCATTCGGGACACACGGGATTCGTATACCTATCGAATTTCAATAGGGGGAATTGCGAAATAAAATTGCACATTACACGTTACGCGCATTCCTTTTGAATATCTTTTTTTTTTGCGCACAATGGACATTGAATTATCGCACTTGGACGTTTCTGTTTCTTTTGAAATTTGTTTTGGCACGCTCGGTTCCTTTTATCGTTTAAGAGACAATTAAGCAAATTTTTTGCAAGTTCTTTTTTTATCAATGTTGCAAATAAGTGTATATAAATACATGCACGTTTGGCATCATTTCTAATTTCGAAACGTGATATTCTTTGTATCTCCGTGCAAATACGCACGCTACGTATCTTGGAAAGTCTTGTTGATTTAAAATTTTATTATTATTTTTGCCTGTCATCGCAATGTTCGTAATTATCAAAATGTTCACACGCATGCCCACACATGGATCCTAATTACCATACGAGTACACTTGGCATGAAAGTCAAGTCCCAAGATAGTATTATTAAAGATAATCAACCGCAGTAGTGATTTATGTCTAATGTCTAATGTTAACGAGTTCATGACGATTTATCCGATAAAGTGGACCCAAAACAGGAAGAGTATTAAGAAATAGTTTCTCCTCGTCGCAATAATTGTTACGCTTATCGTTATCAAGCATCGTGCGACTATGTCGAAAACTGCAAGCAAAGTGACTATTGTATCTTGACATTTAAAGGATCTATTATTTTTACAGGTATTCGTATACACGCCACAAGTCTATATGCGTATCAAGGAGCGACTAAAGACTCGCGGAGTTGCTGAACTATCCAGTCTGGAGTTGAGCAATTATTTCTCACCGTGGTACGCGGAACACATGGGTGCCATCCAATCAGCTAGTGGGAATCGTTCGGTCGAAGCTTGGGCCATTGAGCGGCTTCGCGTTCAGTATTACATTTTCACGTATGCCAGTCTTTTGAAGTTACACGGAGACGCAGCGCTGTTGCGGCAGCTGGATGCACTACTGGGTAACGAAGCTCTGCTGCAGTTACAGCTACGTACGCTAGCGCCACTGTTCAAGGATCCAAAAAGACGCGAATGGTTCCACGAGGTAATCGACAATTACGTGAAGCTGTGGGAAGTGAATATGTGATCACACGGGAAAAGTGATGAATATTGTCACGTAGTGTTTCCAGAAAACTATAGTCGACGGTTAGGGATTCGTCGTGAACTCTATGAAAGGACGCTAAGTGCTGTAACGATACTACTTTGATCGAAGAACTCGAGTTTTTCGGTAACGTTGTAATTTACGTACCTCGGTATGGGGTAATATTGTACGAAAATGATTGATGAACTGCCCACTTCATTTCTTCCTTTATTCCGAATAAAAATATTAAAATATAAAAACAGACTGATCGCGTTTTGACACGCACTGCGATGCAGGTGCGACGAGCGACCAACGTACAGAATGTAATCGCTGTTATTGTTATAACTAAGTATTTATTATATAATCGTTAATAGAAAACATTTTATACAAACATTTTAATATATCACAAGCATTATTCATATATTTTTTATCCAACTCACGCAATCGTACCAATCGCGCGATGCACTGGCCGATATTGTGAAAATATTCCTAGAAACGGGTAAGGATGGGTGAGTGAAGGAAGGGAATACATTAAAGAGAAATTATAATTGTGACGTATTTAAATAAACGTTAAATATCAGTTGCAGGTAATGAGGATAGATTAAAGATCTTTGCAGAGTTGCATTAGTTTTCTGGTTTCTCGTAAATTGAATAATTTTTTTCATAAGCCCTATCAATGGGGAAAATATGTGTGCGATTGGAATACTATCTTAAATAACAAAATATTCCGTGTCGTCAACGATTTAATACGGAATGAAAAATATGTAAATACTAGTTTTGTATAACTACAAACAAATATAAATCAAATTTTGTGTTCATAATCGTACTGGATTAATAAGATGAATTAAGTATTTTTTTACGATTATGATTGTCAATGCTCTACGTATGACCTGGTGTTAATAATACAAATTACAGTCTGCTGGCATACGTTTGTGAAAATGGTTAATGAGAATATTGTTCAATATGATTAGTAGACATAATGTGGCATAAAAAAATATGGAAAGAAAAATGAAAAGGAGAAATTTTGTTCCCAATTTGTGCAGTTCTGAGTAGGCACATGTTTGAAGTGTTGAGATTGGACTTCAAAGAGAATGTAAGATTGCGGAAAAACGTTTTTGATAAGAGACATGCATGGGGAGTAATGATATCTTTGCAGTATAAAAAAAGGTGTCACGTAGATATTTATCCTCTTCCATGCTGTACTTTTTCTGCAATCGTGGATGATCTTCATTTATCACTTTGTGATCCTGTAATTATTGTTAACTATTAAAATGAAATATACAAAACTTTTAAGAAACTGATTAATGAATCTTAATCAGAGGATTGATTTATTATTTTCATATAAATCAATTTCAAAACCCTTATTATTCTGAAAGCATATTGTCAAATCCAAATGAACTTCGTTCTTAGAAACTATAGACATGATCGAGAAATATTTTAAGGTATCCGAGCGTGGAAGTGCGTTTTTTTGGAGTGCCTAAGCAGGATCCCTAATTTTGTCGAGCATATAAAGTTTTACTGCTGTGAAGTGATTCTAGAAGGTTTTAATGAAACTCTGTGATCCATAAAATATACAGAACTTCGATTTTGTATACAAATTACAATTTCTTATTTTTTCTCCAAAAGCTGAGTTACCGGCGACAGTGGCAGCTGATGTGCAGCGCTGCTAGCTATCCCATCGCCGAAACCGCCACGATTCTAATACGAGATCGAACTCATTCTCGTATCTTTCGATATTACTTTCCACTTCTTTAAACAAGAATATTTTATTTTTCAAAGTGACCATTAATTATGAAAAGATCCAAAAACTGCATCTAAGATTTTTTTTTAAACGATCCTAGCTGATGAGGTAGTATAGTAAAAAATTATTAATTTCTGAAGACTACCATCTTACACTCGGAATACTTTAATTTTGCACAGAATGGGAATCGGATTTGATTTAAAATCTGAACTCGTCAATGCTTATAAAAACTTGTTACTGTGTCAATTTTTATACAAATAAAGAAGTAGAAGACTCCATGAATTAACGAAGGTATTTGATCTATATAACTCAAAATTAAAAATAATATCCAATGCATTAACATGCAATACTTAAGTGAGAAAACAGACTAATGGTATTGATATTGTAGCCAAGAACTCTATAGAAAATGATGTCAGGATTATCAAAATCAAGTTAGCATTAATATAAGATGATACCGTTTAAGGTACATAATCACGTTTTGATTGTAAAACAAATTTATCTAAAGAAAAAAGTGTTATTGATCTTACACAAGAAGACTCTGACTCGCTCAAAATTGTGAGATTATTATTATTGTATTATTAATATTATCTTTGCAGTGAATATTGAAGTAAAAGAATGCTACTTACATCATAATACATGTATTGTTTCCAGGATGGTCGTTGGCAGCTTTAGTCCGTTTTTTTAAATGTTGATAACTTCGTACTGGCTTGTTGCTCTCGACCCATTTTTCTGCCATTAAGGATTAGCACAACTGGCGTTTCAACACGTATGGATTTGAAATTAAATGTCTGAAAAGAAGATATACAATAAAATTGAAATATCAATTACGCGAACAAAAAATTTGGAATACTATATTACAATGTTGCATTACAAAACATGAAGTTCAACGTATTTTGAATCTTTTTAGTTAGTCTGATTAAAATAGTTCATGAACAAATTTTACTTGTCTTGAAAAATAATTTAAATTATCAATATTATATACTTTAAACTATTTATTTATTTAAAAATTATGGTTTACTAACATCATCCCCGTAAGAGAAGTCGTGACACGTGAGATATGGTTCTGGAATAACAACAGAATCTCCAACTGTTACTCCTCGACCTTTTGCCAAATTATATAAAGTAACTGCTATGCAAGTCTTATCCTTATCAACGAGGCAAAAAGTGCTAAACAGGAAAAAAGTTAAATTAATACATGAATCTAATCAATTATACTCTTCAACAAGGTTTCTACAACACTTTATAAAACTTACAAAGGCACACAATCGGGATCTTGTATCCAGCAGACGACTTTGCCAAAGATAAGTTTCTCCAAATTTGCGCCAGGTATTAATTCTTTTATTGGAATTAAATTTAATTTCACAAATTTATTTCCAGACGTATAAAATCCGTCTTTATATGCTCCTAATTGTTTTTTATCCATTGTCTGAAATGAAAAAAGGCAATTTAATAGTAGCATTAGACGTCTTGTTTCTCTATACATATACAATTATACATAAAAAAATCATTTGAATAAAATTTTGTATGAGAATATCTCTCTAATATCATGATACATGCCTGACCCGTATAAATGTATGCAGGTCATTATTCTATAAATACCTGAATCATTTGATGCAGTTTTTTAGGTTTTAATCTTCCATTACTGTTAACTAAATTTTTGACATCCTTCAAATACTTCAAAAGTTCATCTCTTTTATCTTTCGGTATGTTCCATGTTGGATCTAATAATGTTGCTTGCTCAAATGATTCCAATGCTAATTTATATTCCTCCTGATACTTTAATGCCTGTAATATGATTAAGCATTAGATCATTCACAATTATTTATAATAATAATAAACTGCTAACTATTATTTGGTATACATAACTTTACGTGAAATGTGTTCAATACTTACAATTGCTTTATTGTAAAATAAATCAGGGTTACACCTTGCAACTACGTCTTTCTCCTGTTTCAAAAAGTAGAATTATGCATACTTTTAAAATTTGCATCTTCTAGTCAGCAGAATGTGCGACTTACAGCTTGAGCATAAGCGGACATACAAAGGCGTAATGTCATAGGATTTTGTACAATAGTAAAAAAAGAAGATAAGTAGGCATTTCCAAGAATAGCCCATGAAACACCATCAGATGTATCAAGACTGACAGCTTCCTTTGCACGTTCAACACCTTGTTGTACATTTTGCACTTGTTGATCATATGTAGCAGTTGGTTCCTGCCGAAGCACCATTGATAAGTTTCGCAGAGATACTTTATTTTTACCCTGAAAATAATGTTCATGTTGTCGATAATGAGTGTTATATTTAATATTATTTTAAAGATATCAGAGACAACATACGTGTGGCAAAGCACCAATAAAACAATTTTTAGCTTGTTGGATGTCATCGTTTTTCCAATAACATTCTCCAAGCTCATTCCATGCATCAATTAAACTGGGTTCCAGCTTTACAGCTTTACTTAAGAGTTCTTCTGCTTGAGGCACAAAACGATCTATGACATTCAAAGTTTTTCCCTTAAGGAAATAATACTGTGCTCTACATCCATCTATTTCATATCCGTGACATTCTTCAAATTTGATTAACGTATCTTTCATTTTCTTTTCCACATCACTACTCTTACGGACTGCATCTGCTATTGAATGAGTTTCGAAGTAATGATCTCGAAAGAAGTAAAGAGACTGCACCTTTTCCTGAAACAAATAATCTGTATAAGTTGTAACCATGTCTATACAACATGAGTGAAATCAATGCTTCAAAAGGTTGGAACTATTACAACTATGCTATATGCCATAAGGATTGCATTGAAATAAAAATAAAAGAGTATGTACGAAAGAAAATAATAAATAAAAATGTTTATAAAAACATTTAATTTTTCTTTACCGTCAACGCTACGATAGGATCTTCTTTGACAACATTTGGATCTTTAGCCCCCGCAACGACTTTTTCATCTATTATTTCAGACATATTTAACAAGTATTGTGCGTCACGTCACCGTAACCAATTTACTATAAACAAGCCCATCGCGCAAAGATTACATCGAATGTTTTACAGTTTGTTGTCATTTCATAATAATACTATTTAGGTGTACAAAAATATCAACGCTATGTAGTTCCACAGATGAGTACCGAGAGGCACAACGCTATCCTTTTGGGCGATAACAAAATCATGGCGCTAAATCGTAGCGGCGAGTCTGCAAGCACGATTTTGTGATCATCACCTCCGTCGACAAAGCATATCCCGTCGCAGCCGAGCTAAAAGTGAACACGACGCGTAATTTGGCTGGCAGAGGTTCTCCGCTACTTAACGCTGGTTCCCAAAGCAATCCTTATAATGAGCTCGGGAACAATAGAACTTCTCAAGAACTATTGAAAAAGCCTATTGTTGAAACATTTTTAAGACATTTTTAAGAAACTGCAATGCCAACTTGTGACACCCGTATAGCACCTCAATTTTTACTAAATACTATTTGATCTTGATTTACTTTCAAAATTTATTCAAAATATAAAATTGAGACTAAATCAAAATCTCACAGAATATACGGAGGAGATAAAAATTGAATTGAAATTGTAGAATATCGAAAATAAATTACGTTCAAATTGAAATATTAATAAATTAGGTGTTTGGAACATTAAAATAATTCATTAAATCAGTAAAGTAAAATATTAACACTTAAAAATAGGAAATTCTGGCCAAGAATATTTAGAAGTACTGGAAGATTCCCAAAATTGTGTGCGCGCAGATTCGGCGCGCAGAACTCGGCGAGCGAGAGCAGGCGGATGGTGGGGGGAGCGCTCGAGGCAGCGCCCGGACTCGAAGCGCTCATTCTTCCTCGAGCCGGTCTCCTATACTGGTCTCTTGGAAACATCCGTGTCACAAATTTCCAACCTTCTTCTTTTTCTATATTTATTTCTTTATCCTTCATTCTTTACTTTCTCACTTATCTCTTTCCTCATTTCTTCTCTAATTTTATAACTCTATTCCTTACTTTTCTACTTTTTGACGTCTTTATTTCTATCTTCCTTTCTGATTTCTCGTTGCACTCTGTTCCCTCTCACTTTCCATCGTGCTTGTCTTACTTTTCTTATATTTATTTCTTCTTTACCTCATTTCTTTATATTTCATTCTTTACTTTTTTATTTATCTCTTACTTCATTTCTTCTCACTTTTATAACTCTATTCCTTATTTTTATACGTTTTGACTTCTTTATTTCTATCTTCATTTCTGATTTCTCGATTGACTCTATTCCCTCTCAGTTTCCATTGTGCTTGTATTACTTTTCCTATATTTATTT